GGCTGCTCTGGCCCACAGGGCCATTGGGAGTCAGAATCACCTCACCAGGAGTGGCTGGGATGTTCATAAGGACCCCAAATGAGAAATGCCCTACATGACATCAGCAGGTGAATGTCCTCCTGGACTTATTGGGGGCTCTTGGGGGGATGCAGGGAGCCCACTGTGCAGGCCCCTCTCTGACAGTGTGTGCTGGCCGGCCTGGAGGCTTCAACCTCAGGGGAGCAGGACATGGGTGTTCAGAAGGGATAGACCCTGTGAACACCAACGTCAGCGACGCGGCCCCCACCACTTCTCAGTGGTCACGGGAGTGGTCTCCCTGCTGCAGGGCCTCCCTTGTTTCTGACAGTCCATGGGGCCTCCTCACACAAAAGCACAGAGAGTTGGCCTCCACCATGTGGGGCTCAGGAAGGAATGGACCCAAAGACCCCTTTGTCCCCCTCACCGGGGTAATCACCATAGTGACAAGGCTGCCACCCTGACTGGGCTTGCTCCATGTTGGGTGCCGTTTGGCGCTACCGTCCATTAGGTGCGGTCTGGGAACCGTCCCTTTTCTAAGAGTTCCTCCTGCATGAGCTCACTTACTCCGTTGTTGTTGTTGTTTGTTGTTGTTGTTGTTGTTAGCCAGTGAGTCTGTTCCGACTCATAGCGACCTTCCACACAACAGAAGGAAACACTGCCCGGTCCTGCACCACCCTCACCCTTGCCCCTATGCCTGAGCCCATCGATTCAACCACGGTGCCAATCCACCTTGTTGAGGGCCTTCCTCTTTTTCGCCACCTCTCTACTTTACTGGGCACGATGTCCTTCTCCAGGGCCTGGTCTCTCCTGACAACCATCTCACCGTATGTGAGACGAAGTTTCGCCATCGTTAGACACTTCTAAGGAGCATTCTGGTTCTACTTCTTCCAAGACAGGTTTCTTTGTTCTCTTGGCAGAGAGAGGTCTTGAAAACCAGACAGGAAAGGCTGTGGGGAATGAGTTGGGAGGCAGAGATGAGTTCAGCATCGGGCAACTTGACCCGATCTCTGTCTGCCCCGTCTGCTTCGCACTTCCCTGACTCCTTGATTCATTGCCCTCCAGCACGCAGTCTGAAGTTCAAGGCTGAGTCTGAGGCAAGGGAGGCCCTGGCCGAACGGCCTCGGGCTTCTCCCCACTGCACCTCCCACGGCCCCCGAGGTGTCAGGACATGGTCATTTGAATGGCAACATTGAGCCAGGAAGGAGAAAGCACTGGCCTGCATGCCTTGTGCTGAGGGAGCCAGTGAAGGCTCAGCGCCCCGGAAGCTGTGGCATCCTGTATAAGCCATGTCCCTCCGGGCCCCATCTGCTCATCTGTAACATGCAGGATATTGGGTCCGATGAGCATCTGAGGGTGGCAGTTCCTTGCATCCCCGAGGCCCTGTGCCGTCAGTGAGTTCGGTTATGTGCTCAAGGCCACACAGCCCATTTAGGAAAGAGTAAGGGTCAGGCCTAAGCTGTGGCTACTGGCTCTCACTGCCTGGGGAAAGAGGCAGCCTAGGCTTCCATGAGTGAGTCCCAAGCACCACCAACAGCTACGCTGTGGTTCCCAATGAACAGGGCAGGCCACGCAGAAGAGGGGAGTCAGTTGCTGGCTGCCTCCCAGGCCAACATGTTGCAAGACAGGGAGCCCTTGAGGCACTTCCCGCCAGAGCCCTGTTCTAAGGATAGGGTGGTGGCCCCCTCTTTTTGTGCTGCTTCCCCTGGACATGGCTGGCTGGGTCTGTGTGGCAAGCCCGTCATGTTTGGGTGCCTGCAGCCTCACCCCAACCCATCCTGAGGGGCCGGCCCCACCTGTGGGAGTTTCTTCCTCAGTGATATTAGGGTCTGTGCAGTGACCCCCTCTAAGGGGTGGGAGGGATCAGCAAGCAAAGAAAGAGTGGCTGGAAAGAGGTGGAGTCCTTCTGCCCCTCCATCAATTCTGTTCTCTCTGGGTCCCACTCAGGGTACCCAAATCCCCCTCCTTCCAAGCCAGCTCTCCTCTCATCCCCACCACGTAAGTAGCCTTCTCTGCTTTCTCGCAGCATTGAGCTGTGCTGGGCTAAATAATGACCCTAAATGTACTCCTGCAAAGCCCATGGATTGTGAGTGGGACCTTATTGGCGGGGGGGTAGGGGGGAGACCTTTGTGGATGTAATGAAATTATGGGCTGGATGACTGGGCTCTAAGGTCAAGAGAAACAAGAGGGACATTAGAGGCCCCAAGAAAAGAAAGGGGTATGACCGTAGAGACAGAGGCCACAAGCCACAACAAGGAGTTGCCTGATGCTGAAGGCAAGGCAAGGCTCTCCCCCAGTGCCTCCAGGGGTCCAGCCTCACCAACATCTTGATTCTAGACTTCGGCCTCCAGAACTATGGTTTCAAATCACCTAGTTTATAGTGCCTTGTTCCAGGCTTTTCCAGGAAATGAATACACCGTGGGGCAGACTTCTTGACCAGGGAGCAGGAAGGGGACACTGGAGCCATGCATGGCTCCCAATCTTCCTGGCACCTGCTGTGTGATATTTGGGGAGGCCGCTTAGCCCCTCTGAGCCCCAGGTTCCTCCCAGCAAGATGGACACAAGCATCCCGACTGCGGTGGGGTGGAACGTCTTCAGATGGCTCTTCTATCCAGGTCTCTGTAACTCCCGCCAAATGATCGGGTGGGACCATGCAAATAGGGTGTGGGCAACACTGCTCCAGGGGATTGGTCGGCACTGGTTGCCGGCTGGTGTGAGGAACCATCTCAGAAACAGGAAGAGAGAGCATCCCGGGACTGTTGAAGAAAAGGAGCAAGGGACCCGTGAGACAGACAGGGCAGCTCCGGGACTATGAGACTGTGAGGTAGAACAGAAGGTGGACTTCCAGGCCCATGGAGACCAGAAGTCAAGGAACCACAAGCTGAGTGGCTGAGGACCAGAGAAAGGGACATGGCTGTTGGCTGAGGAGAGGGGTTGCTGTGGACCCATGATTATCTTACTGTTTTCTGATCCTGGTCCGTGGTAACCTGTCCACTTCTCTCATAAACCGCCACCCTTGTGAGAATGGACTGGTGTTCTGTGTGGCCATTGCCATCGATTATCAAACCCAGCAGAAAAGGGCAGTGTTGTGGGAGGGATATTGACATCAGGACAGCGGGGGATACAGGGTGGAGGCAGGTCTGGCCTCTGCCTGGGGGCGGTCAGCCTTGGGTTGGTGTGGAGAAGAATTCTCTTTCTCCTCCTGTAGCCAGAGGAGGGCAGCTGCAGCCTCGGCACGTTTTCTCACCTACCATTTGGGGTCAGAGTTGGGTTTGTTTTCTCAAGGCGACCGTGAGATAGCGCTTGCCTATGGGAAATACACGCCACCCGCCTCAAGTGCAAATTCAAGGCCTTCAGAGTTGAGCAACTTCCACCACAAGGAGTTGAACAATACTTGAGTCATCCTCTCCAAAAAAATCCCTGCAGCCCTCGGCTGTCATTCCCTGTTGTCCTGCCCAACACTCTGCTCCAGGCCTAAGCAGACACGAATGCACTTTCTGTCTCGTGGATTGGACCGCTATGAACAGCGTATATCCATGGGTTCCCCTGTGACGTGGTCCTTTGTGCCTGGCTTCTTTCCTCGAGCACCATGTCTTGCTCCTTTTCATAGCTGAGCTGAACTGCCCTGCACGGGGGAACCACATTGCACTGGTCTCTTCATCCAGGGACGGCCAATTGGGTTGTTTCCATCTTTGGACAATGATGAGTAATACTCCAAGAACCATTTGTAGGGGGGTTTGCATGCCCATATCTACCATCGTTTGGGATATTAAGTGAGGTCGTTTCTGAAGCACTGGACACACCATGCAACACTGCTAATGCTCCTTAGAAGTGAGGAGGGTGAGACTTCTCCTCATGCACTTTGAACATGCTTTCAGGAGAGATCAGTCGCTGGAGAAGGACATCATACTTCAGAAAGTAGAGAGTCAGCACACACACGCGCGCACACACACACACATACACACGCACAAAGGAAGACCCTTAGCAACATGGCTTGACATAGTGACTGCAGTGATGACCTGGGACCTAGCCATGGTTGTGAGGACAGTGCAGGGTCCAGTCGTGTTTCATTCGGTTGTACATGAAGTCGCGATGGGTTGAAACCAACTTGGTGGTGCAAAACCACAATGGTGATTATTATCTGAGGACTGGGATTGGGGGGTGTCTTAGAGTATTCACTAATCCTTTCAACGTACAGGTTAGGACGCTGAGGCTTGCTCAAGATCACCCTAGACCAACAGTTTCCCAAAGTGGGGGAAACCACTGCCTGGTGGGCACCAGAACAACCCAGGGGAGGATCTGAAAAGCAGATACCTACACTTTATCCTGGAGGATGGGCTAGAAGACAGAAGTTGTCTTGTTTTTTTCTAGGAAGGGGGTGGTCAGCCAAATAAGTTTTGGGAACATCTGTTCTAGGCACTGAAGCAGCTCCATTAAGTGCAGGTCTTTCTGATTCAAATCCTGGTGCCACACGGAGCTGAGTTCCCGTCTGTAAGTCACCCTCCCTCTCTGAACTTCCGTCATGGTGTGTGTAACACGAGGAGAGTAAGAGTGCGGCTTTTCAGTTGCTTACTTGGGCCTTGGGGGCTCCGGCTCATGTACTTGACACACAGTTGGTGCTCACGAATCTTAGCTGTTCAACTACAGGGTCAAGTGTGCACCCAGGTCTCCTGCTTCCAGGTGAGGGCTCCTTGGGTCTGTCCTCGCAGAATCCCTTCTTTGTGTCATGAGCATCTTCCCATGCGCCTGGCCGTTCCTGGAAGAGCACCATGGGGTACCCCCGCCCTGAGCACATCCGGTCCTTTTCTTTGCTCTCCACCCACACCCACACCCACACCCGCACCCATACCCACACCCACCGACTCTCCCTGCCTGGCTGGGGACCCTTGTAGGCATTATTTCCCCACCTTTTCCCCCCCTTTTATTTCCAACCCCACCTTTATTTCCAACACCTCTGCAGCGACTGAGCGTGTTTCCCTCTGCAGGCAGCGGGCACCGTGCCACCATGGAGCTGGGCCCTCTGGAAGGCAGCTACCTGGAGCTCCTCAGGAGCAACATTGATCCCCTGCAGCTCTATCACTTCTACGACCAGGTGGACCTGGCTGAAGAAGAAGCCACTGAACTCTGCTCAGGTGGGCCCCTAGCTCAGCTGCCCCTCCGCCAGCTCGGGGAGTCAGGACAGAGTGCCATCAGCACCTCGGACAGCTCCCAGCTGTGTGCGCTCCAGCCCAGTCAGGGCACCTCCCTTCTGGCCCCCACCCCGCCTCCTTGCAGACCCTTCCCGCTTCGCCCAAAGGTCTTTTCTCCCCAGAGCCCGACACGGACACCATCAACTGCGACCAGTTCAGCCGGCTGCTCGGGGAGATGGAAGGGGACGAGGAGAGCAAGGAGGCTTACGCCAACATCGGTGAGGAGGCATCTGCGCCAGGAGGGCAGTTCCGGGAAGGAGGCGCTTTGCTACTTTTTTACTCTCTGGGGGTTACACATTTGCGCTGCAACAGCAGTGGTCTCCAAACACCAGCTGCTCCACTGGGAGTCGGCTTTCTACTCCCCGAAAGAGTTACAGCCTCAGAAACCCACCAGGGCGGTGTGATGGCAGGGCGTTTGGTTTTGAGTTTGGCAGCACGCGGGGTGAAGCCGTGGACTGCTTCTGGAAAGGAAGTCTGACAGTTTCAACCCCAGGCGAACCCGCTTGCTTCCATAGACAGCGACACCCTTGAAAACCCCGTGGGGCACATCTCGGTGCCAGGATGGACTCAATGTAGTAATGGGTTTGGTTATTCGCCAAGGCGGACCCGCTCTCAGCAATCAGGGACACTGAGGAAGAGGCAGGACAGGGCGGACTCAAGTGGAGAACAGAGGTTGAGCATAACCCAAACCAAGCCCGCTGCTGCAGGGCCAAGTCTGACTTTCGGCGTCCCCATGGGCCCAAACAGGACCGCCCCATCACCGCCCAGGGCTAGTGAGGCCGTCAATCTTCACAGAAGCAGAGGGCCACCTCCTGCGCAGAGCTGCCGCTTAACCACGGCGCCACCAGGGTGCCTTAGACTGAGCATAGGACGCTGGATCCTTTGCTAATGACCCCAGGCAAATTTTCGGGTAGCCGGCAAGGGAGGGAAGAGAAAGCAATAGGGTAGACGGCTCACAGGCGTTAACTTGGGTGGAATGGAAGATAGCAGTTCACAACAGGAAGAACGCCAGAAGTGGGTCAAAAGTAAAGTATTGGGGGTGGGGGGTGCGTGTTGAGAAACAGTTTAAACTGTCGACTACAAAGCTGATGGTCTGAAATGGAAACCCCTAGAATTTAAAAAGAAGTGTTTAGACAAGTCACGTTGTCAACGAGCAAACTACACGTTGACACCCTGGACCGGTGTCTATGCCCTCGCCTGGCTCTTTCTCGTCGTTCTTTCCTTCTCTAAAGGAAATCCCAAGCCTGACACAGACCCTGTCTCTCCCCCAACAGCTTTTGGAAAGAAACTGCTGTCAGGTGTGTTCTGGTTAGCCGCGATTCTGGTGTGCTCCTTGCCGTGCGCACTTGCCTCTCTGCCACGTGACGGCAGCGAGAGGAGTTGGTGCAATACCTGTAGCTGCGGACAGAAAGTTTAGGTTCAGTGAAGTGAGCCTCCCTGGAGATGACAAGTGACAGGTCTGAAATCCTAGCCCAGGGCTTTCTCACCTCAAGACTCCTGTGTAACCACAGAAAAGGGAGGCGTCTGGGTGTGGGAAGGTGCGCGAGGCTCTCAGCTGATGGACTGGTTTTCTCTTTTAACGGAGAGCTGCCATTGCCACACTTCTTTGGGGAGATGTGGGTTTTTAGAGGTGTGAGGACAGCTACCTCAGACAGGTGCCCCTTTCTGGGGGGATATAGTTGCCCTCATTGGGTGGGAAGGCTTGGCCGGCCAAGTGCTAGTGGGATTTCCACCCCCACTCACCCGCCCTCTTGGTTGGGCATCCTTGTGCAATGCCCAACCTGCCCAACTGCTCCTAGTGGGCCTTTCCCGGACAACCCAGGAACCACACCACACAGGGGTCTGGGCTCTGTGTGAACATGGCCAGTCTTTCCCCGGCCCACATCTATTCCAGGATCACACAAGGACGGAGAAGGAGGAACGGCAATTACTGTGTGTTTCTCAGAAATTGTAGAGCACTGACTGCTTCCTTCCCTTCTGGGGATTTCCTTGGGAAAGCAGAAGTTTGGGGCATGAAGGCATTCATGTTTCCTCACAAGGGCCAGCCATAATTAAGGATTTGGGCATCACTTATGATTTGGGGACTTTTTGTCACCCCTTAAGGGCATCTCCGAAAGGAAGTGGGAACTGCCGGAGCCAGTGGAGGGAGGCTGTGCACGGAAGTCAGTGGGTTTTCTCTGTGATTCTAGAAAGCCAAGCCTTGGCCTGGGCACACAGTTGTTTGAGAGATCCTGAACCATTTATTACTTTGGCTCCTATAGCATAAAATAAATAATAACACCCACCCCTGCCTCCAGGATGGTTGTGAGAATTGAGCAAATTACTGGGTGTGAAGCATGTAAAACAGGAGTTTGCACAGAGTAAGCATTCAACTAGTGTTCGGTACCATCACCACCACCATTACCATCACCAGCTCTACCATCATCTTCACCACCACCACCACCATTATCATCTTTATCACATCCTCACTGCCGTCACCCCTTCCTTGACTCAGAAGCCATCCATGATTCCCTATTGCCTATAACACTGTGTTAGTCTGGGTACAT